CGGAGGTGTAAGCCCTTTTTTGTGTCAATGAAAAAATTTTTTTTCGAATATTTTTTTGACTATTTTGTAGAGAATAAAAAGCTGCACAACATATGTAAAATTCAGTGTGGGATCTCCTGATCCTGCAACACAGCAGGAGGTACACTGTTTTAAGTGAACTGATTAAAATGACCCCCTTTGACTCATGTTGGCTTTATAAAACTTGAGTTGTTAGACATTATATTATATCAACATAGCTCATTTTTTTCAGCTTTTAATTCTCTATCTTGTGATATAAGCCACGAAAAAGTTTCATGATCTGTTGAAACGCAAGCTAACACATCTTTTATAGTGTATTTTTTCTTGTTTTTTCCAAAAAGGTACGATAGTGCTAAAAGTTGGTATTTGCTAACTTTTCCAAGGAAGAGTATTAGAACTTAAAATTTGGGGGTTGGTGGTTTCAGACATTGATGCATTGAACGAGCAAAACAAATCAAGCAAAATTTGTTTTTTATCGAGTGCCTCGTATACTCGGTCGCCTCGTGGACGCTCTCTTAATATTCATTTATCTGTTCAATATTTTGACCTAGTACATCGATGTAACCGATTCGGTATTTTTTTGCATCGTTTGTTTATATGTCGTCCCAATAAAAGTCTCCTTTTGTGGTCCTATTTTTTTCTGAATTCCACTTCAATTTGAAGCAGTTTTTTTACGATGGCACAGAAGAAAACAATTTCAAAGTGAAGCAGGCTTCAAAACAGCGCGGTATAGCAAAAGAAAACATGTATCACTGCAACTATTAGTTGCAGTGATACAGTTGTGGCTGTCACTGTGGAGTGTGTGGTGTGATTTCATTGCATAGATACCCACACCCCACACTCTAATTGACATTCTATTAGGATTTGAGTTCTATTCGTCGAAGAAACATTCAAAGAACACAGTATTAACTACGATAGTAAAAATTTAGAGTATTTTTTTCACATTCATTCATTGTATCAAAAATTTGTTCAATTTTAAGTATCAAAAAACCAACTAACAATGGACGAAGAAGACCGTCTTCATGAACTGCGTCAAAAGACTCTCAATCGATACTCATATGGCATTTTATTTGTCAACAAAGGCAAAGTAGATTGTTTTTTTTCTATCGCCTCTCATTTTTTGAGCCGATTTGTACAGTTTTTTGTAGCGCCACATCGCTATGGTGAACATTCTCGACGTATTGTGAAAGGAAATTCTAAGTTAAAAATGAATGGCACATTTGAAACACCATGGGATACAGCTGTACGTGCAATTAGTGAGCAGCTTGAATATCGGAATGATGAAAGTAATGGAGAATGGTGCTCGTTTGATATTAATGAATATAAGAAGGAATGGAAATGTTGCACCTATTTGGAATGGACTTTCGAAGGCAATCATCGGGAAGAATATACACGATTGGCAGGTGTTTTTGTAGTTCAGCTTATGGAGACCCCTAAATTTCGAATAAAAAATTATGAAAAATTTCATGTAAGTAATTTAAATAGTTTCATGAGACACCCTCAACGATATAACTATCGAATGCACAGGAAAGATGCGAGTGGATTTCATTTCAACAAGAATTATCTGAAGACCACTTCTATACGATCTTTCCATTTATCGAGTAAATCTATATCTTATCATAGTTGACATAAATTGCATTATTTAAATCTTTCAGGTACTTGAAATCAAATCGAAATTTGCTATACAACACACAAAGTAACCATGAACAACGTTAAACTAGAACATCTTAATGTCATCATGACATTTAAAATATTAATTTTTTTTTATTCATACTATTTTTCTTTGCTTCGAATACAATATTTATTTTAATCAAGAAAAAACAGCCTCTCATATTATATACTCAGACAAAATGTGTGAGAAGTTTATCCAAAATGCATTTTGGGGTGTGGGTGCGGGTGTTATTCTGGATGTGACTGTGAGAAGAAGAACTATATCAACACTTACACTCACACCCACATCCACACCCACACCCGGCTTAAATAAGCTTTCACTACAATTAAGTGCTTTCCAGAACTTATCACGATAAGTGCTGAAAAGCACTGTAAATGTTTATTACTTTAAGCGCTTTCCACCGCTTATTACGAAAAACCGCTTATAAACACGATGATTTTTTGATTTCTAAGAACTTTACAGCACTTCCTATGGAACTTGCTGAAAATGTTTTATTGTTTTCTTATATTTCAGCGTTTTCCATGACTCAAATGAAAAAGTATTCAGAAAGACCCGTGACTACCTCAGAAGACCGATCAGAACAAACATTGTTTACTAATTCATCTTAGTTTCTGAAATATTTTTTCTCTTTTCTGATCACAAAGCGCTTACAAAATGAGTTAAAATCACTATAAGTGAACTGCGGAACGCATTTTTTTTGATCACATCAACCATTTCTCAACTTTCTAAAAAAAACAGTTATAAGTGTACATTGTAAAAGAACAATGGCAAGACTAATTATATTCATTTGGTGTCAATTCGTAACGATTCATCCTAGTTTACTTGTTTTCTTCTTTGACGATTAAGGATATTCTGCGTTAATAAAGAAATATTTCAATAAACTTGATACTGGTAGCGGCAATTACATTCTTATCTTTGCTAGTCTTTTTTAAATTTATTTCAAGAAGTTCTCACGTTTACTTCTCTAGTAACAAAAAATTATTCTTTTTCCAAATAGCGATATTGAGTGTTTACGAACGCGGCGATATCTTGTAGGCTTGCCCAAACTTTTTCTCGCAATAAGCTGTATTTTTTTAATATTAAGTATGTACTCTGAACGCCTTATGTTTCATTTTAAATGTTACCCATATGTAAATAAGAAGTCCTTTAACAAAATATTCTCATTTAAGCGGTACGAACAATAATACTTGGTCCCAACAAATTCTTGCAAAAAGTGCAAACGTTCATGATAGAGGGCGTTGGTATGAAATATATTTTAGAGACATTATAGGAAAAGAGATTGATTAAGATGTAATAGCCATCGAAAAAAGAGTCCTGAGGGGTTTGAGAAAATCATTGTGATTAACACTTTTTCCCATACATCTATTTCACGTCGCTACCAATAAACAAAGAAGAAAAACTATATGTCTTCCGTTATATTCTATTTGCCCGTGTAATCTATGATAAGACGTGAATAATGGTGAAATTTTACATACGCTGAAACTCTTAAAAGAAAGAAGTACTTTTTTATATTAATTAGAATTGAGTTTACATCGAATCCTCTGATACTCCCAAAATATTGTCAAAACTAGCGTCCTCTACAATATATTTTTCAACATTAAAATACACCTTAAAATATTTCACTCATGAAAACATGTAGTAAATTTAAAATGTAATCAGTTAAACTTCGTTAACCTAGACAGTTTCATGTAAAGGTGTTAAAATAGTAATGCAGAGAAACGAAAAATCTCATTTAAAAACGATTAACAGATGATTTTTCGTTAAATTAGAGAAAAATCATAAAAATGCGTGAA